CCGCATGTAACATGTTTCCCATTTCATATTATACTTTGGGGTATATCCCAGCCAAAAATGTAGCCATCCTGACCATCTTTTCCTCTATTAGGTCTGTAGTTGCTGACAGCCCTCTCAAGCATTACATATATTAAACATTATGTGCATCCCATTGGTGAGGTCAGAGCCCATATTTGAGGCCCCCTTTGACTCAATAGTTAACTTAATAAGTTGACAACCACTGATCCATGGCCATCTTTACATTAACATTCACACTTGTACCACTAGAATCCTGGGTATAATTTCCAGCAGGGTAACTAATTTCAAAACTGAAATATAAGAAGTGCACTGTTGTAGTAGTCTAGTACTTTTTTATTTCACATAACATTCCTTCTTTTTTCTTTCTCTTTATTTCTTTTTCTTCCTCAACAACAGCTGTGAATTCACAGCCCACTGACTCCAATAGCCCCTTCATTGCTGGTGCTCCCTCCTCTCCCCTGCAGCTGCCACTCTCTGACCCAGGGAAGCCCAGGGAAGCCTTGATCATGTAACCACACCAAACTGGATTAAATCTAGGTAATCACAATGCTTTTTTATGTACAGGCTAGGAGGGATTGGTGTGGGGGTATTATTTAAAGAGTAACTGTTATTAATCTTATTTTAAGTTCTGACCATATGTTTACCTTTGTTTGTACAATATTGAAGGTCCTGAATTGACCCTACACAATTAGAGTTTAGTGTGAAAGTTTTAGTTTTTGGAATGTTCTTGGAACATTCGTTTGATTTTCTAATGGGTAGAGAGGTCAAATAGACATTCCTTTTGGCTGCATTGATTCAAAAATTTAAAGGAGCAGGATGCCAAATGTTTCTCAAACAAATGTGTTTCTGAGTGTGCAAGAAAGGTGACCACGCTAACTATTATGCAACAATAAATATTCACATAAAAGTGCTACCAATTAATGAATATTCCTGGGATAATTAGTTAATAAAACAATTAAATAAAACAGTGTACCAAGAAATAAATCACGAAAACTGCATGAAAAATATGTATCTGCAAAAAGAGTTCACATGCAAAAACTCCACAAAGCAATATGGTGTGATTTAACATGACAATAAATCAAATGATCAAAGTTCACTCATACAGTGATTAATCCATCATCCACAATTAAAGTGCAAAAGTGTAGTGCAAAAACGTTCCTTCTGTGTGAAAAAAGCACCCAATGTCTTTCACCTTCAAGGGTTAACTTACTCAATCCCCAAAGTAATGCACAAAAACATTGCTGCTAAAAGGTCACCATATACACAGTTCAATCTTTTAAATGATCAGGATCGCATCAATAACTCTATCTTCAATGTATGTGAGAGTTAAATCTCTTTGGTCATGTGCTTGCTTCGGCAGCACATACAGTTGTGTCCAAAATTATTCAACCCCCAATGCTGTAAAGGGGGTTTAGGGACTATAGTGTACATTTGGAATTGTATTCAGAATCAAATCCTACAAGGACGTTGTAACTACCCAAATGCAACTAAAATGACATCAATTGTTTATGTAATACAGTAGTAAATGGTTCTTATGTGGTTTCTTCATTGCCACAATTATTCAACCCCTTAAAGACTACCACTCTGAAGAACAGAGGTTCATACAGGTGCTTTCCATCAGGTATTGAAAACACCTGTGGATGTCACCGAGCAGCAATCAAGCATAATAAGCACCAATTAGGCAGCTTTAAAATGACTGTGATACTCAGCTCCTTCTAGACATTTACTGGTGTTGTCACAAACATGGTGAAGGCAAGAGAATGGTCCAGGAAGACAAGAGAAGAGGTGATTTCTCTTCACAGGAAGGGCAATGGCTATAAGAAGATTGCAAAGATGTTAAACATACCAAGAGACACCTTAGGAAGCATCATTCGCAAATTCAAGGCAAAGGGCACTGTTGAAACGCTACCTGGTCGTGGCAGAAAGAAGATGCTGACTTCGACTGCTGTGCGCTACCTGAAGCGTAGAGTGGAGAGAAGTCCCCGTGTGACTGCTGAGGAACTGAGAAAAGATTTGTCAGATGTGGGTACAGAAGTTTCAGCCCAGACAATAAGACGCACACTGCGTAATGAAGGCCTCCGTGCCAGAACTCCCAGGCGTACCCCCTTGCTGTCTCCAAAGAATAAGAAGAGTCGACTGCAGTATGCCAAAAGCCATGTGGACAAACCACAAAAGTTGTGGGATAGTGTTCTGTGGACTGATGAAACAAAATTAGAACTGTTTGGGCCCATGGATCAACGCTATGTTTGGAGGAGGAAGAACAAGGCCTATGATGAAAAGAACACCTTGCCTACTGTGAAGCATGGTGGAGGGTCAATCATGCTTTGGGGCTGTTTTGCTTCTGCAGGTACAGGGAAGCTTCAGCGTGTGCAAGGTACCATGAATTCTCTTCAGTACCAGGAGATATTGGATGGAAACGTGATGCAGTCCGTCACACACCTGAGGCTTGGGAGACGTTGGACCTTTCAACAGGACAATGATCCCAAGCATACCTCCAAGTCCACTAGAGCATGGTTGCAGAGGAAAGGCTGGAACATTTTGGAGTGGCCATCGCAGTCACCAGACTTAAATCCGATTGAGAACCTCTGGTGGGACTTAAAGAAAGCAGTTGCAGTGCGCAAGCCTAAGAATGTGACTGAACTGGAGGCCTTTGCCCATGAAGAATGGGCGAAGATACCCGTAGATCGCTGCAAGACACTTGTGTCAAGCTATGCTTCACGTTTAAAAGCTGTTATAACTGTAAAAGGATGCTGTACTAAGTACTAAGATTGAATGTCACTTGGGGGTTGAATAAAACTGATAATGCTGTGAGCACAGAAAAGACATTTGTGGTTATTTCATTATAACTGTTATGTTATATTTGTCTGACCTACAAGTGCCTCTTTAATGTAAATGTAAGCAAGATGACTGAATGATCAAAAGCAATGTCAAACTGGCCAAAACACTCAATTTCAGTGGGGGTTGAATAATTTTGGACACAACTGTATACTAAAATTGGAACAATACAGAGAAGATTGGCATGGCCCCTGCGCAAGGATGACACGCAAATTCGTGAAGCATTCCATAAAAAAAAAAAAAAAAATCTCTTTGGTCCACAGGGTCATAGCAGTGCCCTCCATGAAAAATATAGGAAAACTCCACATTGTGTAAGATCATCATACATCTTTATTTATAAAATAGTTCCATTGTCATGCCTGACACTAAGGAACGTGTGCATATAAACTTAGAGGGCAGCCGGTTACAGCTGCAAACACTGGTTGCAAGCAGGACAGGCTCATGCAGGGTAACATGACTCCAAGAATGATTCTGCCCTATGCGTTTTGACATCTTTTGTCATCATGAGAAGCATGACGTTTTTTCTCAAATGAACTGTGAATGTGGTTTTCATTCAAGAAAATGTATACAATGTTCATGTTCTAGGCACAAAAGAAACATGTTTATTACATCCTGGAATCCATTGAAGCAGCAGGTTTGGATGATATTTGAAAGTATAACTAAAGTTAAAACTTTTTTTTTTAATTTTTGGACAGAATGGATATGAATTAGAACACCTGTCAGGCTTTTATTGTTGTCACCTTCTCTATTTTTCCTGTTTACTGTTAGCACTGAAAGCGAAAGTAACCACTTCCCGCCTGGCCAATAGGAAAATGACGGCTGGGCAAGACTTGTCAATCTGGGTGGGTGTCATATGACGTCCTTCCCGGATCATTATTATTATTATTATACAGGATTTATATAGCGCCAACAGTTTGCGAAGCGCTTTACAATATAAGGGAGACAGTACAATTACAATACATTTCAGTACAGAAAAAATATGAGGGCCCTGCTCATGGAAATACCTTGCGCGTGCTCACAGGGCTGCACTGTGGCAAGATCTGTCACTGGCTGTGTACCTCGGTCATTGCCAATGACAGATCTGCATACCGGCTTATTGCCAGTACCATGTGACCTGCTGTGAACAATCACAGAAGGTCACATGACAGTTGTTAACAATGGATGGCTTCCTTTCATGTCATCCATTGTATACAAGTGTGTCTAGCTGTGTATGGTCACAATGATCACATGCACAGGCTGGGCCAATCACAGTCCATCTGTGTCATGTGATTAGCCATAGCCAATCACAGCTAATCACAAGAAAAAACCTTAATGAATCGATTTCATTCAGCTTAATGCTTGCTTAAAGCAAAGAAATTCTTTGCTATAAGAAGCAATCAAACTGTGTATAAAAAATATACCGATCACTTCCCCAAAGTGCTACTACTATAGTAACATTATACTACTTTGGCCATAGTGTATTATGAAAAAAAAAATTAAAAAAAGAGAAAATAATTTACTAAAAAAATTAAAAAAAATTATAAAATAAAAATAAAATTGAAAAAAAAATTATCATTTTTTTTTCTATACTGTCACCTGTCCCTGATCACCAGAAAGAATAAATAGTGCAGTGCTAAGAATTGACAATATGTATTTGCAATGATTAAAATATGATTCAGTATGAAATATCTGTGCAGTTGTAAAGTGCCAAGTGACTGGTAGACTCAATGGTGGTGCTCCGTGAGTAATAGTTTAATTGCGCACTCGCCAGAAGTATAATAATAATACGTGTTATATATTATATCCAGAAGTATCCTCATGAGGTATAGGTCTGGTCAAATCTGGTAGTCCTCCCTCAGGGTGGTCATTATCAGGTGCCCAGAAGTCAGGATTAATCAACTATTACTCACAGAGCACCACCATTGAGTCTACCAGTCACTTGGTACTTTACAACTGCACAGACTGTTCATATTGAATCATATTTTAATCATTGCGAATACATATTGTCAATTCTTAGCGTTGCACTATTTATTCTTTCTGTTGTTTAAGGCTTGTGTTGGTTACCTTGAGTGCACAGCAGCTTTTTGGATAGCGCTCACTTTTACCATTGATTTTTATTGTCCCTGATCACCGCCACACCAGTTATATGATGACGCTGTACTGCACTGGTGACAGTATGTAAAAGAAAATGTGCAAAAAATATTTTTTTTCATTTCTTCATTTTACAAAAATTTATGACAAAAAAAATGACAACTTCAAAAAACTTGCCATGCCTGTTATGACATACGTCAGACTGTCTACTTTGCAAAAAGGGATAATTTGGGGGATATCTGTACTGTTCTGACATTTTTGGGCCTCAAGAAATTAGATTGTCAGTACTTCAGGATTGATCAATTTTCAGATATATCCCATAATTTGTGAACTCTATAACTTTCCTATAGACTAAATAATAAATGCTAATTTGGGTTTTTTTTCACCAAAGAAATGTAGCAGAATACATCTTGGCCTAAATTTATGAAGAACAATTATTTATTTGCAAACTTTTATAACAAACAAAGAAACGTTTTTTTTTTTTTTTCAACATTTGCAGTCTATTTTTGTTAATTTAGCAAAAAATTAAAACCCCAGCGGTGATTAACTACCACCAAAGAAAGCTCTAGTTGTGTGAACAAAATGATAAAAATTTAATTTGGGTTCAGTGTTACATGACCACGCATTTGTCATTCAAAGTGTGAGAGCGCTGAAACCTGAAAATTGGCCTGGGCAGGAAGGGGGTAAAAGTGCCCGGTATTGAAGTGGTTAAAATAAAATCCCAAATTTTGGATTGTCCCCAGAACAGTGATAAAGGGGACTTCATAACTCTCTCTTACTCTATCCAAAACGTAAAAATGTTTTTACCTATTTCTCTACTTTAAATGCTTTTGAGTGAAATTAGTTGACTATGGCAATATAAAATGTTTTAAAGAACATTTTTTCAGAAATTCCATACAAACATTTGAACAAAAACCTATCCACATACAGCATGCCCAGGTTAATTGTAAGACAGGTATTAATTAGTTTGCTGTCCTTTAACCACTTTCCTGGTGCCCTATAGTAGAACTACTGCTACAGGGCAGGAGGGCTGTGCAAAATCACGTATATATACATGATTTGCATTTCTGCGTAGGGGGCGCACACGCCACCCTACCTGCGCTGCCATTGGCAGCTAGGCATGCCAATCCCTGGGTCCCGGCCAGAGATTCCCCACTGCCACCCGGCGATTGCCGTGTAGATCTAACAGGGGAGAGTCCTGTGTATAAACAACACAGGACTCTCTCCTGCCAGCAGAAACATGTCGCTTTGTATCTCTCTGCACAGCATATCTCCCTAGTAAAACACTCCCTGCACACAGTTAACCTTTGATCGCCCCACACGTTAACCTCTTCGTGCCCAGTGTCATTAGTACAGTGTCAGTGCTTTTTATTAGCACTGATCACTGTATTAATGTCATTGGGATGTCAGTGGCAGTTAGTCAGTTCCCACCCAGTGTCAGAATGTCCACCATAGTCCCACAGTCCCGCTATAAGTCGCTGATCGCCGCCATTACTTGTAGGGAAAAAAAAAACCTAAAAATTCCATTTTATATATATATATATATATATATATACCGCCTTCACGTAAACCAATTAATATACACTTACTGGGATTTTTTTAGCAAAGACATATAGAAGAATACATTTTGGCCTAAATTTATGAAGAAATTAGATTACATTTTTTACTGGATATGTTTTATAGCAAAAAGTCAAAAATATTGTTTTTTTTTTCAAAATTGTTGGTCTTTTTTGTTTATAGCACAAAAAATAAAAAAACTCAGAGGTGATTAAATACCACTGAAAGAAAGCTTTATTTGTGGGAAAAAAAGGACATAAATTTCATTTGGGTTCTGCGTTGCATGACCACGCAATTGTCAGTTAAAGTAACACAGCACCGTATCACAAAAACTGCCTGGTCCGGAAGGGGGGTAAATCCTCTGGAGGGCAAGTGGTTAAAAAAAAAAAAGAAACAAGCAATTTTTTTTTATGGAAGAATTTTCAGGATCTGCTTATATCTGGTCACATTGTGCTGTAGAAATTCAATGATCTTCCTTTTTATCAAAGACATTCTTTTTCATTTTTTTCATTTTTAAACTGTTTAAAATGTCATTCCCAGTTTGACTTTAAAGTTGCATTAGCTTTTTACTAACAATTATCTAGGGATTGCCTCATATCGATACATTTTCTGTACACACATTGTCACATTGTGATATACAGTATGTTATTGAAGCCTTGAAATTTTGTGAAATTAAAATTGCATTATTTTATTAATATCTTGCAATTTTTCAAGAGTTTTTTCTTATTTTCTTTCACTATCTGCATGGGAATTGAATTTAGCTGACCAACTGCATCAATATGATTCTCTCTGGGGTCAGACCTGTACCAGGTAGCAAAAAATAGATACTAAAGTTCAAATGTACTTATTTATTTCTCTACGCTATATGGACACTGGTGAGATAACAGGAAACTGTTGGAGGGGAGCTAAAATCAAAGCCTGGTCACTGACCTACAGTACACAGAAATGTTTGTGTTCACGTCCAAGTAGGATGCATGGAAGATTAGAAGGAACCAAAAGGATGCGATCACACGCTTCACATGACATCATCAACAGTCTGCACACTGTGTATTTTAACCTATGCCTTTTCAACTATAGGAAAAACAGAGAGGATTATTTTTACAGTGGTAGTTGCAATATAGGGAATATAAATTCTTTTTTTATACAGAAGCTTATAGGCCTCTAACAACTATTGATATTAATGCTTTATTATTTAAAGTATTATTATTATAATACAGGATTATATAGCGCCAACATTTTGCACAGTGCTTTATAAAATATTAATGTAATACAACTGAATATTAGAGGCATAAGAGGGCCCTGCTCTTATATATATATATATATATATATATATATATATATATATATATTATATATATATTATATATACTGCTCAATAAAATAAGGGAACTCTTTGAAAATATCATGCTGGATATCTATACTGATATGGATTGGGTAAATATGTTAGGAACATAAGGAAAGGATGCCCCATCGTTTTGATGGAAATGAAAATTATCAACCTACAGAGGACTGAATTCAAAGACACCCCGAAAATAAAAGTGAAAAAATGATGCAGCAGGCTAGTCCATGTTGTTGAAATTGTATTGCAGCAACTCAAATTGGTACTCAAAATGGTAGTTTGTATGGCTCCTACGTGCTTGTATGCATGCTGACAACATCGGGCATGCTCCTAATGAGATGACAGAAATTGCCCTGGGGTATTTCCTCCCAGACCTGAACCAGGGCATCACTGAGCTCCTGGAGTCTGAGGGGCAACCTATCGGCGTTGAATGGACTGAAACATGATATCCCGGAAGTGTTCTACTGGATTTAGGTCAGGCGAGTGTGGGGTCATTCAATGGTATTAATTCCGTCATCCTCCATGAACTGCCTGCATACTCTCGCCACATGAGACCGGGCATTGTCATGCACCATGAGGAACCCAGGACTCACTGCACCAGCGTAGCACCTGACAATGGGTCCAAGGATTTCATCCCAATACCTAATGGCAGTCAGGGGGCCATTATTTAGCCTTTAGAGGTCTGTGCATCCCTCCATGGATATGCATCTCCAGACCATCACTGACCCACCACCAAAACGGTCATGCTGAATGATGTTACAGGCAGCATAACATTCGCCACGGCTTCTCCAGACTCTTTCATGTCTGTCACATGTGCTCAGGGTGAACCTGCTCTCATCTGTGAAAAGCACAGGGCACCAGTAGCAGACTTGCCAATTCTGGTGTTCATTGATAAATGCAAATAATACTCTATGGTGTCGGGCAGTGAGCACAGGGCCCACTAGAGGAAGTCCGGCCCTCAGGCCACCCTTGTGAAGTCTGTTTCTGACTATTTGGTTAGAGACGTTCACACCAGTTGCCTGCTGGAGGTAATTTTGTAAGGCTCTGGCAGTGCTCATCCTTCTACAGCTCTGTGCAGCTTTCCCAGACTAACTGCCTGTCTCCTGGAATCTCCTCCATGCCCTTGAGACTGTGCTGGGAGACACAGCAAACCTTCTGGCAATGGCGCGTATTGATGTGCCATCCTGGAGGAGTTGGACTGCCTGTGCAACCTCTGTAGGGTCCAGGTATCTCCTCATGCTACCGATAGTGACACTTACCCTAGCCAAATGCAAAACTAGTGAAAAACAGTCAGAAAATATGAGTAGGGAAAAAAATGTCAGTGGCCTCCATCTGTAAAACCATTCCTGCTTTGGGGGTTGTCCCATTGTTGTCCATCTAGTGCACCTGTTGTTAATTTCATTAACACCAAAGCAGCTGAAACTGATTAACAACCCCCTCTGCTACTTAACTGACCAGATCAATAGGAGTTTTGAGCAGTATATATATATATATATATATATATATATATATATATATATATACAGTTGCAAGAAAAAGTATGTGAACCTCTTTGGATTACGTGGAGTTTTGCATGAATTGGGCATAAAATGAGCTCTGAACATCATCTAAGTCACAACAATAGAAGAACACAGTCTGCTGAACATAATACTACACAAACATTAGATGTTGCCATGGTTTAATTGCACATAACATGTAAACATTCACAGTGCAGGGAGGAAAAAGTATGTGAACCTTTGGACTTAATAACTGGTTGACCCTCCTTTGGCAGCAATAACCTCAACCAAACGTTTCCTGTAGTTGCAGATCAGACCTGCACAACGATCTGGAGTCATTTTGGATCACTCCTCTTCACAAAACTGTTTCAGTGTAGCAATATTCTTGGGATGTCTGGTGTGAATCGCTCTCTTAAGGTCATGCCACACAATTTCAATGGGGTTGAGGTCAGGACTCTGACTGGGCCACTCCAGAAGGCGTATTCTGTGCTGTTGCAGCCATTGTTTTGTTGAATTATTGTTGAATTACTTGTATGCTTTGGGTCATTGTCCTGTTGCATCACCCATCCTCTGCGGAGCTTCAGTTGGCGGACAGATGGTCGTACGTTTTCCTGCAAAATGTCTTGATAAACTCTGGAATTCATTTTCCCATCAATGACAACAATCCGTCCAGGCCCTGAGGCAGCAAAGCAGCCTCAAACCATGATGCTCCCTCCGCCATGTTTCACAGTGGGGATGAGGTTTTGATGTTGGTGTGCTGTGCCTTTTTTTCTCCACACATAGTGTTGTGTGTTCTTCCCAGACAACTCAATCTTGGTTTCATCTGTCCACAGCATATTTTTGCCAGTAGTGCTGTGGAACATCCAGGTGCTCTTTTGCAAACTTCAAACGTGCTGCAATATTCTTTTTGGGCAGCAATGGCTTCCTCCGTGGTGTCCTCCCATGTACTCCATTCTTGTTTTAATGTTTTCCTTATTGTAGATGTGTCAACAAAAATGTTAGCATGT